GTCTTAACACGCTCAATCTTTTATTTTCAACAGCGTGTTAAATGACACGCTTCGTAGTGTGTTAAAGTCGTGCGATATGGCACAGTAGCACGGAAAGAGTTGTTAGGCAACCGAAGAGGTTAGGCAAGAAAGCCTTTAGTTTTAGAAGTTGCTCCGCACATTGAAAGAATGGTAGCGAAAAAGACGGCTTATGTAAAAAGTTCTTCCTAGCCAAATGCTTTCACCGTACGCTGACTTCAAGCAAAAAGACAGCTTATGTAAAAAGTTCTTCCTAAGACAAATAATGCTTTCACTGTATGGACTTCAAGCAGGGCCTAGCGACAGTTTGAAGATTCGATGGCCTGCTAAATATTATTTTCAAGCAACAATGTGTTCAAAAAGTATTGTCTAATAGAGGATTTTGTGTCAAATCAAAGTTTTTCAGAATTTTCAACGTAACGCTGCGCAATTTCTGGCCATGAAGGCAAATAAACAATGATCTAAGCATGATGAATTTTACCGCGTGGGCTTTGTACTCGTAAGAAATTCATACGTTTTTCGCTTATAACAGCAATTAAAAAAAATGTTTTGAATAAATCTGTCGTCCCCAAATATTTATAGGCCATTTTAGTCTTGCTTCCTTATTAATTGATTCCATGGAACTTGAGATCTCTTCACTGACGGACAAATTTGCATATTCCCATTTGAAATATGATCCACAGGCTCATTTGCACACATGCGAAAATATTTAGCGATTTTTACCTTTTATCTTGATTTTTGAGAGAAAACGAATTATGCACCTATCGCTTTTTTCGACGAAAATAAGTTCTTTAATTAGTCTTCTTTCACTGGAGCTTGTTTTTCGGAAAAGATGATTTTTAAAAATTTACTGCACATTCTGTTTGCTTTCTTGGTTTCTCCAAAATTGTGACTTTTCGTAGGCACGTGCTAGATCGTGTTACACGTAAGTGTCAATTGGTTAAACTCGATCTTGCTATAAATTTACGCATTTTGAAAAGAGAAAAATGGGTTTCGTGTGACAAATTGTGATTCATTGGAAGATTACAGGTGAAGTTTACAACATGAGTCAGTGATTCGATGATGAAAATAAGTTACGAATTAATGCAGTATCGCAGAGGTCAGTGGTTCGAATCCCGTACAGGCCTGATTTTTTTTCAGGTCTGATTTTCGCTATTGCATAAATAGCGCTCTCTACTGTGAGGATTGTGTGCATCATACGTAATGCAGGTTTTGCTTTAATGGAGATAGTATAATTTTTCGTACATGCAATCTCTTACAGATGTTTTGATCTGACATGAGTATTATTAACACGCGTGATATTTCGCACACCAGAGTGCAATATGACACGGCATAACATGGCTTTTGTTTTCGAACCCTTTAACACGCTTCTTTGTTTAACCTGAACACAGCTTATTGTTTATAAGGAACAAAAGAAAATTCTAATCAGGAGTGCATTGTGACCCGCTGCTACTGTGTTAACGAAAATTTCTTTTGTGTACCGTGCTAAAATAGTGTGCCTGTGTCATCACCATTATGCTGGAAATCCTGTGGAGGGTCACATATATGAAAGTTCATATATTTTGAACTGCGGTTATAGATACGTATGTGCACGATCCTCGCAGTAGAGAGCGCTATTTATGCAATAGCGAAAATCAGACCTGAAAAAACTCAGGCCTGTACGGGTTTCGAACCACTGACTTCTGCAATACTAGTGCAGCGCTCTACCAATTGAGCTAACAAGCCAACTGGGAGCAGGCCATTAAGTTGATTCGTAATAAACCCGTGATGATAAATCAGATACAATGTCGGTCTGGCAGAGAAGGCAGTCAGCATTGGTGCATTGCCTCTGTTTGAAAGGGTCTGATTTTTGGATAAAGGCTGATAGTTTCGAAAGAAACTGTTTGGGGCTGCGTCGGTGGGAGTAACGAAATAATTTGGATATATCAACAAAGTTGAAATGGTAAATTGGCCACCGTAATTATTACAAAAGCTGACGTTTCGAGTGTTAGCCCTTCGTCGGAGCGAATAGTGGAATTGTGGGTTGTGTGTGCTTTTAAAGGCAGAAAATGGAGCTACATTATTGGTGGGAGCATGGCAACGAGAAAAACATGAATAAATTAGTGGAATGAAAAGCGTTCGTTGATCCCTGTGAGATTTAGACTGCTGGTTTGAAAGATGAGCTTTTGTTCAAGATTTTTATGGCTTTCCATGCCACCTAAGTGCAAGGAAAGACCGCAGATTGCCATATTTTGCTTAGAATGCTTAGGTAAATTAAAATGTCTAGCGACTGGTTTCGATGTGTCCTTGTCATTCCCTTCCACGTCTCGAAGGTGTTCTCGGAATCGGTCACCTAGTCTTCTGCCTGTTTCGCCGATGTATATCTTTTGCAATAAGTGCAAGTTATGCAATAGATTACATTGGCGGAGGTGCACGTGAAGCATGAACTGTCATCATCAAGTTTAATGTGCCAGAAACCGTTCTTTGCGTCCATAGTGGAGAACACTTTAGCCCTGGTAAGCTCAGGAAGAATATCTTCAACTCTCAGGGTTGGGTAGTGGCTCCTCCTAAGGACTTTGTTGAGGTCATTAGGGTCCAGGCAAACACGAATCTGTCCATTAGGTTTCTGCACGATAATGAGGCTCAAAACCCAAGGGGTAGGCTCTATGACTTTTTCTATGATCCCAAGACTCTGCAACCATTCCAACTCTCGTTTCAGCTTTCCCTTGAGCACGACAGGTACTCTTCTGGGAGGATGGACCACTGGCTTAGCATTCTCTTCAATTTCCAGCTTGTACTGCCCCTTCAATTTTCCAGTGCCTTGAAACACATCTGGGTACCCCTTTAAAACTTCTTCCATCAAAAGGGGGCCCTGATTATCGCGCTTAACCCCAGTATTGACGGTCATAACATTTTGGTGTTGAACCCTGACCAAATCCATCTGCTGCATTGGATTTCCTAAAATCAGTGTTGACTGATCATCGTCCACAGCAACAAATTCAATCTGATATGTTTTGGAATTCTTGGGGTTAGATACTGCTACAGCGCACATTCCAAGAGGTTTCATGATTGTGTTGTTATACATTGTGAGTAATTTCGGCATGGGAAACAGTTGGACTTCAGTTCTAAGGAACTTTGTGGGAATCAAATTGCATGTCGCGCCACTATCCAGTTGAAACTTAACTGGTGTGTTTCCGACGTTAATTGTAGCAAACAATTTTTTAGCATATTCCAGATCGCTTGCCACATGAACCCTAACTATTTGACTTTCGTCCACTGAGTGGAGCGTGAGGCAATATTCGTCGAGCTCGCTTTCACTTTCTGATTCGACGACATACACTCTCGTTTTAGAAAGGCATTGAAAACTGAAATGATTCATTCTTCCGCAAGCAGAACACCTCTTCCCGAACGCTGGCCAACTATTCTTGGCAGCCCGATGTTTTCGACAAAAAATTTGCATCTTAGTACTTTAGGACTGGAATCTCTCGCGTCCCGATCGTCATTTTTGTGCCTCTTGTTAGCAGACTTGTCATGGCTTTTGTTAGCTGACACCTTGCTGCGCTTCGTTTGGTCCTTTAATGAGTTTACTGCTTCGCCCTCTTCCAAAGTTTTAGTACGCGTTTTCAACAACTTGGCTGCTGTTCAAATGCTGAGGCCTTTGTAAATCAAGATCTGGGATCTTAAGCAGTTGTTCTCGAAGCTGCCAGTCCTGGATTCCACAAATGATCCGGTCCCTCACCAACGAATCTTTAAGATCACCAAAGTTACACGTCGTCGCCAACAGCTTCAAATCTGAAATGAACTTTTCTTGTGATTCACCCGGGTCCTCAGTGCGGGAGAAAAACTTGAACTGTTCCTTCAGCTGCATTCTTTCTGGGATTACAATGCCCGTCAAACGCTTTTAACACCTGCGTCAAGGTTCTTTCTGACGCAGTAATTTCGAAGGCCATCGTCTCATAAATTTCTCTTCCTTGACTGCCGATTAAATACAGAAATAACTTTACTTTCGTTGCTTCGTCTCTTCTGTTTATTGCCAGATCCATGTACAATTCTAATTCTTGCTTCCATCTTTTCCAACTTTCAGCCAAGTTTGTCGCATCAAAGTCTAGCTGAGCTGGAGGTTTAAGCTGTGCAATCCTGTCAGTCACTCCCGCATTTGCACTTGCCTGTTGTCCGTCTGTCGGCATTGTAGGTTTCTTTCGAACAGTTTCTGTCTATCCCGCACTCACTCCTGACACCATGTTTAGTTACGAAAGAATCGTTTTTAATGTCTCCCATCAAGTGTTACACCAACTGCCTCGTTATTACAAACATCCGTCCCTTAAGTTTGAACACTCAAACGAGGCTACTACTAAACAATGCCTGTTGTTACAGTAGGCAGCCAACGCTGACCGTACTACTTCTTTTTGAAACTTTGATCGTAACCAGAATATTGAAGACATAACATCATGTGGTTGATGTGAGCAACAACAACCTCCCAGGGTAACTCTTTGTTACAGTTAGAAGAATCCTTAACACTTCCTGTGTAAAACTTCCCTCCTCAAATCTTTTGTTGAACAGATGTGAGGAGGAGTTGAGAAATCTGGGGTTACTGAGGTTTTGCCCACAATGCAAGACTAACAGAGGCCCACCTTCCACCATCACAGGTTGTGCTACAGATGAGAACAGAACCAAGAGATTTCAACCTTGGCTACCACTGGTTGAGCAGCCAGACAAGGTTACTACCAGAAAGATGTGACCTCTCGGGAAAACGTTCCGAACGCTNGTCCTATTATTTATCATGAAGAACCACCTCTATACATTCAACGATCAGATCAAGTTGCAGACAGAGGGAGGTCCGATAGGGCTTGAGCTTACTGGGGTCTTGGCCCAGTTGTTTATGGTCTGGTTGGACAGACAAATGGTAAAGAAGCGAGAAGAAAGCGGGGTGGGGTTACGGGTGTACAAGAGATAAATGTGGTTATGAACGCTTCTGCGGCTGGTATCAGATTTGAGGAGGGAAGTTTTACCCAAGATGAGAACTTTGCACAAATAGAGCAAAACCTCAAGCCGGATAATCGATGCATGCTGTTGTTTCAGTCAATTGGAAACAGCATACACCCTTGTATAAGATTAGAGGTTGACTACCCGTCGCAACACGTGGATGGAAAACTACCCATACTCGGTTTAAAAGTCTGGATAGAGAAGACAAGGCGTGAAGGTGATGGTGGGCAACACCATGATATACAGGTCATGCTACATGAGTTCTACTACAAAGATGTTGCCTCCAGATCTGTGATAAATGCAAGATCGGCCTTATGGTGGAGTTGCAAGAGAACAATACTTACGCAGGAAGTGTTGAGGATTCTTCTCAACTGTAGCAGAGAGTTACCTTGGGAGGTCGTTGTTGCTCACGTCAACCACATGATGTTACGTCTTCAATATTCTGGTTACGATCGGAAGTTTCGAAAAGAAGTAGTACAGTCAGCATTGGCTGCCTACAACCAACTAGTGGAACTGGATGCGAATGGTGAGAAGCCAATGTACAGGCCAAGGTGGTGGAGGGCACTCGAATGGACATGAGAGAGAAAGAAGAGACATGACAACTGGTTTAGAAAGGGTGATTATGACACAGTGATTTTCATACCAGCAATGCCTGGTTCCCGCATTAAACGCCGGTACATGAGAGAGATCAAAGCCACGAGGTTGTTGAGCAATCTGGAACAACCCTTAAAGCCATGCCCCAAAAATCAGACCCTTTCAAACAGAGGCGATGCACCAATGCTGACTGCCTTCTCTGCCAGACTGATGGAAAGGGATCATGCCGAAGTACGGGTATTACATAGGAGTTGGTTTGCCATGCTTGTAAATCGAAATATGTAGGAGAGACATCCAGAAGTGTGTATACTTGTGGTAGAGAACACTTCCCTGCTTTAGAATGGCGAGAGGAGAGCTCTGTTCTGTGGAGACATTGTTGTGACAGGCATGATAGAAATGAAGTAGGCTTTGAAGTGAATGTGACGGGGGTTTTTCGTAATGATGCAATGTTGAGGGAGATAACGGAGTCTGTATCGATAAATAAGGTTGAAGAGGGAAATTTAATCAATTCCAAAAGCGAATAGAATTATGTCAACATCCCGAGGGCAGTTATGGCAATGTAACAGTTCTAGAGACCTGGTTCCGAGTGGCTACTTTTCGTGTGTTACTACACAGCGTGTGCGTTTTTTCAAAATATTTCAAATTTTTAGATTTTTGTTTGTTATCAACTGACGAGGTCATAGACAAAACTAGTTTTGAAGTTTTCGCAGTAGTGTGTTGAAAGTAGGAGTTGAGTTTTTCACTTACATGGTTAATATGGCACTAATTGATATTACTTACTATAAAGGTTTGATCCTTAACTGCCCTTTTATGCTTTCCCTTATAAGCATGACTGGTACATTGTTTTATCAGGCTGCCTGTAACCAATCATTTCTGAGAATTTTGTTGTAATTTTGATTACCTGGGAATTGATCCCAGGTAATATGTTTTATATCTTTTAAAGGTGAGTACTCTATCATATAATTACTAATTAAAATTGATATGTTTTACTGGCAGTTGTAGTCTGTGCTGGACATTAAAGCTAAACTTGTAGAATTGCTTAATAATTCATGCTTCTTAGTATCTTAAAAGTAAACGTATTGACTTTTTATTTGAATAATTCTCTATCTGTTCCCTTTTTTTTTCAGTGGAGATCAGCTAAAACAGAAAGACATCATGGTACAGTAGAACTTGGAATGGCTGTTTTGAGTACAATAGAGTAATCACTCAATATTAATTATTTGTAAATGATTATTTATTTCAATATCGTGGACTGAATTTTAAGGATTGCATTGTTAACACCACCAAAGCTGGTTTCCCCCCCCCCCTCCTCCAACCTTGTCTTTGAAACACACCATTGACAGAAGTAAAAATTTTGACAGTCTATGTTCTTGTGAGATGTACTCAGTATTGTTTTTCTATTGGCAAAAAAAAAAAAAAAATTAATTTCCAAAGTTTGTGTTAGTTTTCCCTCCAATTTACTTCTATATCCTGACAAGTAATGCATCAAATTGAAAATCTGTCAACATTGTGATAGAAGTCAGCTGGGAATCTATAGCATTTGTGTCATATGAACAAGATATTGAGAATATCTTGGTTTAGCATCAATCCTGTTTTTCACCCAAGATTCCCTTCAACATGAATTTACAGCGTATTATTATAAAATTGGTATTAATGTCATCATTTTTCAAGGATGAAACCAAAGTGGACAGTACCAAAGAAAAGGAGGATGAGAATGAAGAAGAATTAAGAAAGGAAGAGGAAGAAGTGGTGTGTATTTTCTTTACTCTCTAAAGATTTGTACATTGTACAGGTGGAAGAACAATAGGAGACGTAGTCCCCTACTAGGTTCATCCACCTAAACCCAACCCACCCCGGGGAAGGACATCCATCACACAGTAATCTTGTGCATGGGAAATTAATGTATGTGATGCTCTTAGTCATCACGAATTCAGTCTTTGTTTATTTGAAGTTTATTTAAGGAAATAGGGTAAATGATTATTTTTATTGTCCACTAAACTAGCAACAAGCCTTGAAGGAAGCACAGGAACTGGTCGATCAGAAACTTGCTTTACGGGACAAGAATCTTGCTGCTATTGGTTAGTGCTACGGTATACAGTCAAGTCGCCAACGGTTCAACTCGTCAACGTATAGAATTGAGTAGAGACATCGGCGAGTTGGTCTTCAACCCAGAACAACTTATTAGGGAAAGATTTCCATATAACCCCATACTAGTCAAAAACAAAGCCATAATCCCAAAGGTAATCTGTTGTTTTGCCTCTGCTTTCTTTTATCGAAAAATTGTATGCATAACAAAGTATGGGGTTATACCAAAAACTTGCCCTCTGTATTAGAAGTTAAACATATAGAAAAGTTAACGATCTTTTGTTAAAAAGCATTGTTTTTCTTCCAACAAAGTTTATAAGGATCTCAATACAATACAATATTCTTTATTTAACGAATGTGACGTAATTAACCCAATGATTTATCTAACTTACGGCCTTCACAACAATGCAAACCCACCATCCCACCCCAGGGGAGGACATCCATCACACAGTAATCTCGTATGTGGGAAATTAACGTCTCCTACCCCAACCCTGCAGGAGACGGGACCTCCATTTATTTGTCCCTATCCGAGAAGACTAGAATATCTTAACCATTTCTTGATGTTAGAGAAAGGTAGCAAATTCTTCTCAATTATTTTAAGAGCTTGAGTGTTGGTCCAGCCGGGGTTCAAACTCTCAACCTCCCGGGAATAAAGCAAGATAAACATCACCAATTACAATAACAGCTTCAGATGTGAACGAGTTATTGTGTGACAACAACACCGTAAAGACTCATCATGTCAATCGGTCAGATTTTTTAAAGAAAACTTGAGATCTTTATAAACTTTGTTGGAAATAAAAAGAATTGCTTTTTACTAAAGATCTTGTCTAAAAAGCTAAGTTTTCTTTAAAAAATCTGACCGATTGACCTGATGACTCTTTACGGTGTTGTTGTCACACAATGGCTCGTTTGCGTCTAAAGCTATTATTAGTAATTGGCAATGTTTATCGTAATAATTTGATATCAACAAAGTTGAAATGGTGAATTGGCCACCGTAACGACTAAAAAAGCTGACATTTCGAGCATTAGCCCATCATTGGAGCGAATGGAGGAATTGTGGGTTGTGTGTCCCTTTAAAAGCAGAAAATGGAGCTACGTTATTGGTAGGAACATGACAACGAGAAAAACATGAATGAATTAGTGGAATGAAAAGCGTTCGTTGATCCCTATGGGATTTAGACAGCCGGTTTGAAAGATGAGCTTTTGTTCAAGAGTTTTACGGCTTTCCGTGCTACCCAAGTGTAAGGAAAGACCACAGATTGCCATATGTTTTTTAGACTGATTAGGTAAATTAAAATGTCTAGCGACTGGTTTCGATGTGTCCTTGTCATTCCTTTCCACGTCACGAAGGTGTTCTCGGAATTGGTCACCTAGTCTTCTGCCTGTTTTGCTGATGTAGATCTTTTTGCAATAAGTGCAAGTTATGCAATAGATTACATTGGCGGAGGTGCACGTGAAGTGATCGGCGATCTTAATAGATCGTTTGGGTCCTGATATTTTCTCAGTGTTGTGAATGAAAGGGCACATTTTGCATCGTGCACGAGTGCATTTAAAAGTGCTCGGTTGGTCATTAGTCTGAAAAGGACTTCTGTCCAAAAAATTTCCTGTGTTTTTGTTGCGTTTGAATGAAATGATCGCCTTGAGATCCTTACAAACTTTGTTCCAAATAAAAAGAATTGCTTTTTACTAAAGATCTCGTCTAAAAAGCCAAGTGTTCTTCGAAAAATCAGACCGATTGACATGATGAGTCTTTACGGTGTTGTTGCCACACAATGACTCATTTGCATCTGAAGCTGTTATTCGCAATTGGCAATGTTATCTTGCTTTATTCACCTTAAGATCCTTATAAAACTTTGTTGGAAATAAAAAGAATTGCTTTTTACTAAAAGATCTTGTCTAGAAAGCCAAGTTTTCTTCAAATAATCTGACCAATTGACATGATGGATCTTTATGGTGTTGTTGACACACAACAACTCATTCACATCTGAAGCTTTTATAGTCATTGCTGATGTTAATCTTGTTTAATTCGCCTTGAGATCCTTATAAACGTTGTTGGAAATAAAAATAATTGTTTCCTGATTAAGATCTCGACTAGAAAGCCAAATTTTCTTGAAAAAAATCTGACCGATTGACATGATGAGTCTTTACGGTGTTGTTGTCACACATTAACTCGTTCGCGTCTGAAGCTGTTATAATCATTGGTGATGTTTACCTTTCTTTGTTCACCATGCGATCCTTATAAACCTTGTTGGAAGAAAAAAATTGCTCTTTTACCAAAGATCATTAATTTTACTTTTCTATATGTTTGACTTCTAATAAGTTGTACTGGTTTGAAGACCAACTCACTGGCATCTCTACTCAAGTTTATATGTTGGCGAGTTGGCGTTAGCGAATTGAACCATCAGTGACTTGACCTTAATTCATCTTTTTCTTTTTTAGAATCCAGTGCTAAACAAAAGAATTCTACCACTGAAGGCTCTAGGGAATAACTAGAGATTTTATGAGTCTTATTTCTCAGTGCTTCACAGTCGTGTCCATTGTTTTACACTGAATCATAATGGCCAAGCAAACTTACAATGCCCATAGGTTAAATTAAGATTTGCTCTTGCTAAGAACACTGCATTACAATGCCACTGAATGCAATTCTTGTAGAATGGCTGCATTGAAATTATCTGAAAGAGCACACAATTATTTTATTTCAAATCTCTCTCAGGCACATCTCTCAGTTACTAATAAGGTGTAGCCAGATTGATATAGAATTTGACAGCATATATTTGGTAACTATTCGTAGCTGGAATTATGGGTAATGACTATTTATACTTCTTAACATTACGTTATTTGCAGTTCAACCACCTGAAGAGTCGTATTTTAAAGGAAAGGATTCTTCTGTGAAAAAAAACTCTGCATTCATCAAGAAATTGGTATTATTAATGAAATGGTCTTTTGTTTTATATACATTAGATATTAAGCAATCCAAAATTGTTAACTGTATGCTGTTATTTTTTCCTCTTTTTCTTACAAAAAGAATACATATGTTACGAGTTTGATGGTTGAGTGGCAGGTGATTTGCAGTCTGAACAGAATGCAGGGTTGTCGGAACAGCAGCAAGAAGATTTATTCCAAAATGAATGTAGCTTAAACTCTACACTAGCACGTAACTTAGTAAACTTACACGGCTTTCGCCAACTTCAAACAATTTGTAAAATACACATGGCCTCTGCCAACTTCAATCAACTCGAAAAAATACCCGTGAACGGCCTCTGCCAAATTCAACAAACACTGCCTCGTCACACTTGTCTGATCACGACCAACTCTCTTCGCTTGTGAAAACTTAGTTGAAACTTCGCTTAACCTATCCTACTTAATATATATTTATGCAATAAAATTCAAGAACTTTCTAAAATGGTCTAATTATAGCAACATTACAAAATATACGGCTTTTAGAAATGACTACATACTAAAATAAACAAGCCATGACCTTTTGCCAAGCTTCCAGAAGGCCATGCATGTCACGCAACACTATTTTTCATAACAACATAATAGTTGTAGAGCCTGAATAAATTTCATACTAGCTTGTTACTAGCTTTCCCAAATCGAACTGAAAGAATTTCCAGCATCTTGAAGTGTGTATCTTATTCTGCTATAAATAATAGTTAGAGTTGTTATTGATTACAGAGGACAATAACAGAAGCCCAGCGGGAGTCTTTGGAGCAGGAATTTGCTGGTTTGAATCTCTCAAGATATGTTCAGGAAGCGGTAAGCCCACCACTTTTCATTGTCACCCAATACAGTACTTGTAATGGTATTGTTTTTGTAGCTCTCACTGGTCTTAAAATCTGAGTGGTTCTTGATTGTTGCTTTTAACAGGTTGCTGCAGTTATCGATGGTGTACCCAAATTGAAGGTACTGGTATCTTGCCAATAATTTTATTTTCTAAAATGTGATTGCTTGTATCAAAATTTACATGATGATGAAATAAAACTAAACAATACGATTTTGTGAATCAATTTTATGAAAAAATACAGTATAACAAAGGAATGTGTAACAAGTGGACATAAAATTGGCAACTCTGTTCAAAGCCAGTGTAAGTTCAGAATGTTTGAAAGTTTCAGTCCCTGTTACTTTCATTGTATAAATCTATTGAGAAGTATTTTATGGATCAAAATCCTCTAAATTGTATTTTCATGATAATTATTGCTAAACCCAGTAAATTACTACAAGGCCAGGAAATAATTAATAAACAAAGGCATTGTCAGTAATAAATATTAGTTGTACTGCATCAAAAGCCTTACACTGTCTGATGAGTGATATTAAGGAAACTGGTTCAATTTGAAAATCCCTGATACACACAAATTCACGAGACACAGTGTGATTATTTTAGCGGATAGTTCAAATGTCTTTCTCTATTTTCTTGAAGCTAGCTGATGTGAGATGTGCAGCTCATGTCTGTGGCTTAATTCATCAAGTGTATGGTGACTTCAGTGAACCACTAAAAAAGGGACTTGTAAAGATGTTTGATGGCTATGGTGGCAAAGATGAGGAAAAGGTAGTTCACAGAGCAATAATATTATCCTGTTTTATATTATCACTTCAGTTACTGTGACACTAACCTTCCCTGCTTCAAATTTATCTTTTTCAAAAGTTGTGTTTCCTGAACTGCCAATTGGTGACACTTACCTTTCCAGTTTCAAATTTATATTATCTAAGGTTTTGTTTCCTGAACAGCCAATTGGTAAATTGGGTTGGTCACATCATAAACTAATTATTGACTGAGTTTGGTTGGGCTTCACAAGAAAGTATGTGGCTCTTGGTGGAGCCACATGGACCTCGTTGTGCTTTATCCTTACACTGTATAATCTTGACCTGGAGCCAAATGTTTTTCCTCAGCCCTCTCGCCCAGACAATAAGTACGTAATTTATTATGATGATACCACAGTGAATTTGATGATGATGATGAGACTTGTTATTGGTAACTAAAGATAAAATACTTCCCAAAAAATGTGCAAGTTAACAAAAATTAAGAGGTGAAAAGTGATTGAAATGTTGGTAATTTTACTTCATAACCCCAATTACATCTACCTCAAAATTGCTGAAACTCAAAATAACATCTCTGTTGCATGCTTAAAGCATTCTGTTCTAATCCTGGAAGAATATGCCTGTGCCCACAACTGCATAATTGATCTCCTCCAATATGGTGATTTGTCCTATGATATTATTGCATGTCCTGCTTTCTTATTACTCCTGGAAAGGGAGTGTAGACTGTGGTGCAACCTGATTTAAAGGCTCGTTTGCAGAATGTTTTAAATTTACTGTATTTGGTTTGAAAAGTACAGCCCCCCTCTCTGATATGGTATATGAATAATAATTATGACAAGACTTTCAAATAGAGCTGTTACATGTAGCTCATCGACACAATACCATTAACACTATATACAAACTCAGCAGACAACTGGCTTTCCTTAACATGGAGTCAAAGTATGTAGTCCAATTGCAGGGGTCTTTTTTCAAGGGCATGCCTAAGCTCAGGTTTCATCTCAATACCCAAAATAAATTCAGGGGAGAATTGTTCTACCTCTTTTCTTGACTTTGTTTTCATCAGACCACTGTTACACTTTCTTGACTTCAGGGCAGATGAGTCATAGGAATTGTTCTTTCAATACTAACTGAATACACTTAGCGTATGTACTTGGCAAGCCATACTTAATTAGCTAGCTGACACTTTGTAATCTTAACCAAACAGCAATACTGTATTAAGATTACAGAAACAAAAACCTAGTCTAGCTTAAAACACTTACAAATTAAAGTAATATCAGCAGCACAAAAGTGTTAGAATTATAGATCTCATTAAATCCTCTCAAGATTTGATGCTGTTCCTTTGTGGAAAGTAACTACAGTGTGAGCAGACAGGCATCCATCAGTCCTATAAAAATTAATGTGATCAGTTTTAAAAGAAAATAATTGAGTGCAATCACTTGATCTGTAATGGGACATCAACACAACAGAATAAACAATTAGATACAACAAATATATGAAGTTCATATATTCATAAACAATGTTTTATCAGTTTTAAAAGAAGATAATTTTGAGTGCAATCACTTGATCTATAATGAGACATCAACACAACAGAATAATCAATTAGATACAATGAATATATGAACTTCATATATTCATATATTCAATAAACAATGTCTTATAAATACGTATGATGCACGATCCTCGCAGTAGAGAGCACTCTTTATGCAATAGCGAAAATCAGACCTGAAAAAGATAAGGCCTGTGCGGGATTCGAACCACTGACCTCTGTGATACTAGTGCAGTGCTCTACTAATTGAGCTAACAAGCCAACTGGGAGCAGGCCGTTAAGTTGATTTGTGATAAACCCGTGATTTATCATCACGCTATTGCATAAATAGTGCTCTCTACTGCGAGGATCATGCATCATACATATCTATAACTGCAGTTCAAAATATATGAACCTCATACTTCATATATTCATCATATCTGATTTATCATCACGGGTTTATTATGAATCAACTTAACGGCCTGCACCCAGTTGGCTTATTAGCTCAATTGGTATAGCGCTACACTAGTATCGCAGGTCAGTGGTTCGAATCCCGTACAGGCCTGATCTTTTTCTGGTCTGATTTTCGCTATTGCATAAATAGTGCTCTCTACTGTGAGGATCGTGTATCATATGTATCTATAACCGCAGTTCAAAATATGTGACCGGGCACAGGATTTCGTACACTAACGCTTTACCGTTTAACGAATCAATCCGTTTACTATCCGTTTACTATCCGTTTAAAACGGATCATTAAAGCGTTTAAACGCTTTCTTCATCCGTTTAAACGCTTTGCTCATCCGTTTAACGTTTTCGACAAAACGTTTAAACGGTTAACCTATCCGTTTAAAATAAAATACATCCGTTTAACGGTTACTTGCATCCGTTTAACGAGGAGAGCGAGATTTGTTTTCATGATTATGCAAATTTATTTCGATTGACGTGTACGGCAAAATTTACAAAATCCGTGGCTATCGAGTTTCTCATCTTTTATTTCCGTCGATTGAAAGGAAACGGAAATTGCTTTATAAAAGCTGTAATTACACATTACTTTACGAAATCGAATGCAAGATGAAACACGAGCGAAAGAAAGTTGAGTTTTGTTACATGCGTATGCAAAATTGTTTNTCAGTCCACATGGTATGATTGACAGATTCCTTCCTCTGCTTATACAAATTTTCAAACGCATTGCGAGCTCTCCAGGGTGAGACTCGCTCTCGGCTCGCTTCACTCGCCAGTGGATAGCTTAATTGCAGGCTAGTAATTTCATTTTACTTAGTTTTCTATCGTTGTCGGTCGAATATTATTAGTATGAAACGTCAGTGTTCCGCATGAACAATTCGTATCATTGTTCGCAACGGTTTCTGATCGATATGTGCATGACTTTCCGCCGTTCTTTAGCCCTCCTCATTCGTTCAAGGTTTTTGTCCATCCATTTAACGTTTTGAGCTATCCATAAAATATTTTATAGATGCTGTTCAACCGTTTAACGTTTTAAGCCATCCGTTTACTTTTTTTGTCGGCCGTTTAACGGTTTACGGAATCCGTTTTTGGACTTTGCTCTACCGTTTAACGCTTTGGACTATTCGTTTAAACGGACATGCAAACCGTTTAAACGCTCTTACTACCCGTTTACTATCCGTTTACAAACCGTTTATTTTTACCCGTTTAACGGAAAAGCGTTAGTGTACGAAATCCTGTGCCTGGTCACATATATGAACTTCATATATTCATCAAATGTCTTATAAAGCCTGTCACAACAATTGTTGTGACAGGTGCCATGATGGCAGCCCCGAATTTTGCTCCACAATTTGTGTCTAATTCTGCTGCTGTGTACGGGTTCTTTAAGTTTATTTCACCATGTCGGTACTGCTAAGGAACGGGCTTTACAACCAGCCTTCCATTGGATACCAAGGTTTACCTTCCACAGAGATATTCCGAGTTACAACCCAAGTCAACCGATCGCTAGCTGGAACAAATGCAGCTTTGTGTGCCTCTTTCTGCCTTCCTCTGATCTAACTATCTGTGTTGACGTTGAAAGAAATCCTGGTCCTTGTTGTTCTTCGTTAAATAATACGGCCCATTTTACTACAAGCTCTTACAATGTTCGTGGACTTGACCTGAGACATCTGAAGCATTATCAACCTCCGTGCGTATCTTACAAGAGGAACCGGCTACTGTCTCTTCGTCATTGAGTAAGCACCACTGTTTGCCAGCATTTCTGGGGAAGTTAAAAGCTTTGAATCTTTTGAGATACCGGGGAAAGCGTGCTGGAAGGTCGAAGAAACAAAACTCAACAGGAAATGGTCTTAGGATTCCTGTGATCTGTTCTGGTCGTCGCCATTACCATGTTTCATTAAATATTCAAAATGCCACTTCAACGTTACAAATCTGTGAATCACGGCCTTTAGGTGTCAATAGGAACAACTTAATTTTGTATTCGTCCGGATCCAAGTCTTAGCTCACCGACCGCAGTCAATTTGTTAGCATAAACGGATCAAATTCCTCTCACTCTGATCTCATGTTTGGAGTTCCCCAGGGATCTGTTGTAGGTCCGATTTTGTATTTACTGTATATGTCTCCTCTCGGCGACATTATAAGAAGACATGATATGAACTTCCATTTTTACGTGGATGACTGTCAAGTTTATTTTTCACTTGACTCGGTTTCATCAGTTACTACTACGAGAATCGAAGCCTGCCTACAAGATATTGGAACTTGGATGTTATTGAACAAACTCAAACTTAACGTTGATAAGACTGAGCTTTGGTCATCGGATCAGGCAATCTGTCTGCTTCTTGGCTACCTTCTTTTACAGCGATTGATGGATCTGTTTTACAGCCTTCGAACTATGCCAGGAACATAGGTGTAATCTTTGACAATAAGTTAAATATGGAACGTCAAGTTTTGCCTATTTGTAAATCTGCATTTTTTCACATCCGGAATATTTCTCGGATTAGATTTAGTTTTTGTCAGTTAGTAGTACTAAGGTGTTAGTACATGCCTTCATTACATGCAAATTAGACAACTGTAATTCTCTGTTGTATGGTCTTCCGAAACATTTAGTTCATAGATTGCAATTAGCCTAGAATTGTGTGGTACGGCTGACCTTATGTGGTTGCAAGCATGATCATGTTGCTTCTTTACTGAGGGAACTGCACTGGCTCCCCATGGAGCAGAGGATTATTTTTAAAATCTCATTTTTTACCTTTAAAGCTTTAATTAATTTATGCCCTAGTTATATCAGTGACTTGTTAGAAACTTATAAGCCTACTAGGTCTTTGCGATCATCGAGTAAGAACTTGTTAGTGATTCCTCACTCCAAGTTGAAATCTTATGGCAATCGCGCCTTTTCTATCTCTGCATCTAAGTTGTGGAATGACATTCCTGAAACCATAAAATGTAGTATAGATCTTAACACTTTTAAGCGTAATCTTAAAACTTATCTTTTTAAGCGTTATTTTAATGAATGATTACGTTTGATTATTATTTTACTTTTTACCTTGATTGTGAAGCGCCTTAGAGCTTTTGGATAGGGCGCTATATAAATTGTCATTTATTATTATATTATTATAATTATTATTATAAAGTTTCTGTATTAATTTTTATTCAATAATTTTGTCCACATTGTTTCCACAGCTTGCAAATGTGAGCAAGTATCGTGTCACCTTGAGATTGTTGGGGGAGTTAATTATTGGTGGAGTTTTTCCAAAACTGTCTGAAGGCATTAAGACACTCAGCACAATCCTTAGTAACATGGTGAACTGTGATAAAGAAAGCCATGTGTATGTGCAGGTGATCAGCAGCTTTGCTCGTCATTGTGGGGAAGACTTTGCAGGCTTTACAACCAGGAAACAAAGGTTGATGTCTGAGAAACACAGAGTGACATTTCCCAAGTGTGGAGTAGTGCCTGATGAGGATCAAGCAGTTATTCATCAACAGTTTCTATCTTATTACAAGTCACTTTCTGTCCATCTACTTAGAGCTCATAAGGATCTTCAAAATAGGGAGAGGCAGAACCATCAAACTTTAATGGTTGGTTTTATATTTTGTTTAGTGCTTTTGATATAAAAATAATGTATTTCTGTTTCCCACTATTGCCTGACGCTTGGGTTTATCATTGATTGCTTGAATATAATTACCTTTTAATGTAAAGAACCTCAGCCTCAGCCAATCACATTTCCTTGGGTCTAATTTTAGTTTAAGCGGTGTAGTGATTCCTTGTAGATTCCTTTACAACAAATTATGTGGATGGTGGTAATCACTCTTGTACTGTAGCTACTTAGGGCTGTTACTTATTGTGTTCTTGAGAGGGTGTGAAAATTACTCTCGTTCATGTAGTTCCTCACTTCACCAGAGAGTATGACTTACAAAAAGAAATATTGCACTTCTTTAAAATTAATGTGAAGTATAATCTAAATGTAGTCTGTGAAACACACAATGTTAGATAATGTTTATCAAATGCATCAATTTTTTCCCACAGACTAAAGGTGAATTACACCCTGACCGAAAGGAGGCATTTGAGAAGGCACAAAAGGCATATGAGAAGCTGCTAGCCAATACGACTTCTTTAGCAGTGAGCACTTTTGATCATAACATGACAATTGTTTTTTGTTTCTGTAACTATAGACATTAACAATAGTATAAACCCATATACCTTTATGCTTATCTTACATAACTAGTGACTTTTGTGTGTTTGCTGTGATTTGTTTAGGACATACTGGATGTAGACATGCCTGATCTACCCCAGGATGGTTAGTGGATGTCAGTCATAATAGCTATGCCTTTCATTTTGTTTGCGCTCTGCTGTACTTTCTACCAAAGTGATCTATTAACCTGTAAACTCCCTGGATTGGTTAAAGATGCAACTTCTCCCAGTAACTTCAATGCATTAATCAATGAAAGGTGCTTATAATAGATAAACCTTGTCAACTAGAGGTTGTTATCATCATGATGGTGGAAAATCAATGAAAGGTGCTTATAATAGATAAACCTTGTCAGCTAGAGGTTGTTATCATGGTGGAAAGTCAATGAAAGGTGCTTATAATAGATAAACCTTGTCAGCTAGAGGTTGTTATCATGGTGGAAAATCAATGAAAGGTGCTTATAATAGATAAACCTTGTCAGCTAGAGGTTGTTATC